TTCTGCGCTTCCACGCAGGCGCATGGCAAATATCCAGCCCCTCGGAAATTGTGACTGTTGTGTATTTTAATATGTTGTTTTGTGTATTATCCCCTTCCCTTGTTTTATTGTAAGCCGCCCGGAGTCCTTCGGGAGTGGGCGGCATACAAGATCAATAAAACTAAACTCAACTAAACTAGAAAAGACAGTCATATGTCAAAGTTTATTTCTATCATTTAGTAACCTGAAGTGAAATTCCTAAAAATATATCTCCCCATGAAAATAGGCTTACGTTATATCCAGAGTTTAGTAATCTCACTGCCCTGGGGTGAGAATAATCAGACTACTTATGCAGTATGACAAATGAAGTTAGTCTGAAACCGGAACCGGAGTTGGAACTTGCAGCTGCCTGGGGAATGATCTGAGTCGTTCTCAGAGCACTTCATGACATATTAAACTGGGGCAGAAGACAGAAGTAGGGGAACTTTTGAATGTTATTGTTTTAGATGTGATGGCAGAATATGCGTGCATTCTCTACATCTTCCGGTCCACTTCCACTGTCCAGGATGAAGAGGGAGTCATTTTATCTCGCCTTCACCTCTCTAGTTCTGAGTAGCTAGAGGAGGAGCTTCTCAATTGACCTTGTGATGTGACTGAGACCTAGGGCTTCTCTCGCAGAGTGGGTGCCATTGTGGCAATACCAAACTTCAGGTCATCCCTAACCTGTCAATAATTGTACATAGAGTTATTCTCATTGTGAAGGAGTTGTTCGAGCTTGCAAAATATGGAGAGCATTCTTTTTTTATTATTCCACCACAAGCTTTTGCTCTAAGCTGAAACAGATGATGGAATTGCACAGGAAGAAATATGTGAAAATTCTCTCCTTTTCCATCTGCCTATTGGAAATTACATGGAAATTTACACTAGTTTAAACAATATATGATAGTTGAAATACCTTCATGAACTAAAGAACTGTCTTTAATTACAGTGGTTGAAAAGCCACTGCAAGACTTTATTCTTTATGATTTTGTCTAGACTTTTAAATAACTTATGCCTACAATGGTGGCTAATGGATATTTATGCATATGAGGCAATCAATTTAATGATTTCTACATAGTATCCTTAAATATAGTATCTGAAGGAAAGCCCTCGTATCTTTTCTTCTCCTGAAATTTTATTTGGACTTTCTTCCAAGTATGTGTGATTTGGTCAGTGACACGCTGATGTTTGTATAGAAATGTTTCCCCATTAGAAAGCAAAGCTGAGATACTGTTTTATTCTGTGCTCACTAGATATGTCTATACCCACAGCTAATCGTTGGCAAATATAATACTAAATAGGTAATTCTATGTGTTTATTAAGTCTAAAATATGTAGGTTTAAACAGAACTATTGTTATCTCAAAGAAATGTGCAGAAAGCAATCTGGCGTGGGGTTGGTGCATTGGATTTCATACAGTACCACATCCAAATATGACTCTTGTGTAAGAGGAAGTTGCCTCATATA